GGTAAAGTTGCTGGCTTTATTGGGGTTTCTCTTTTAAGGGGAAGGGAAGAGGTAAAAAAAAAATTGTTTTTCTTCTTTGTTTCAGCTCGATCTTTTGGTTCTAAGATCAGTTTTTGCTCAAAGGTACGTTCTTTAATAGAAGTTTTGTTTGATTACTTGCAATTTTGATGTTGTGTTGAGCTATGAGGAAGATCTGTGGATGGATGTCATGTTAGAATTTTTTTGGAATCTGGGTTCGTTGAATATTGAATGTTTTTATCTGGATTGTTTAAGTTAATTCCTTCTTGATCAGGTCTTTTTTTTTTATTTTATGAAATCGTCTTGGGTTCTCACTGTGGTCACCAAGCTCCGATCTTGACCTTTTCCTAGCTGTTTTGATCATCTGTTGAATCGGATTAGATGGTAAAGGTCTTAGCTTTGGTACCGATTAATGCATGTCTCAGTTTTTTTGAGCTCTGGCTTTTGTTCTTACGATGACGATGATACCGATGATTGCTGTGAAGATGCTGTTAGCTTGTTAAAATGCTTAGAAAACAAGCGTAGATAGCAGGTGTGCTATCTGCAGTGTTATTTTGTTTACAAAGCAGATGATATTGATGCATGCTTGTAAACTATGATGAAGAAAGTTAAAGGCACGTGATGGATATATGTTAACTTGGAATTTTGACAATATATAGCTTTTGGTACACATGGCAATTAGATCGGATGGCCCGATGTAATTGCAAGCTTAATGCTTGACAAAATGAGTGGTCTTTAGTATTGTTTAGAGGCATGACTTCAAGCAGCATGGTCGAAACTGGTGTAGATGAAACCAAGGTAATCAGTAGCAGCACATTGTGTAGGTGTACTACAAGTAAAAGGTTGCCTGTTCCAGAAGCTCCTTGCAGCCTTTGCAGCATAGGCTGCTGCTGATTCTGAACTCAAATTTTTTATAGATATAGGAGGGATGCATGCCACAACTAGTCCTTGTGGTTAGTATCTCTGAGGATGAAAATAAATTCTATTAATCATGTAGATGTTGCCATTCACTTCTCAAGCACTTGCATCATCTAGGTGTGGCAAATTGGAACTATCAACAATCCAGTAGTTAGTTTCAGAGGTCTGAGGAGGTTAGGAGAGAGATGATAGATTATGAAGACAATTTCTATATCCTACTTGATCAGGATTCCATATTTTTTTAGAGGAGGCTCCACTTTATCACATCAACAGCCCAGTGGTTCCATCCCAATTCCCAAGTGTTGGGGTTTGATTACATGAATCCTTTATCCGGAGCTCATTAGAAAAATGTTGAATGGTATATTGTGCTGTTTTAGATGAAATAACAATCCAATGTACTCTTATTTCTGAAGGTTAACTAAAATAAATGCAAGGTTAGGCAATAGAAATCATAATATATGGATTTCAATTGTGCTATTTCTATTTGGACTTTGTGATATTATGTTCATTGTAGTTGAAATTTTAATTCAAATGAGGAGAGGAATTAATATCTTTCAGGACATTCTTGTCAATTACGGTGGTAAACCTACAAGAAAGGGACTTCCACAAATAGACTACTGAATACTTTATTTGGGCTAGGCTATATAATTTGTTAAATTGATTTATGTGAATATTTCTCCTGTAAAATCTCTAATTCTTTTTCGGTAGCACTTAAAGTTTGAAGGGGGAAAAAGGTAAGAGCACACTAGAGGAAAATAGATTACAGATATATATTTGATTTTGTTATATACACAGTTTGAGGAAAAGTCAAGTTGAGAGGGTAAGCAGCTTGTCATCTGGTGAATCGCACTGCTTATATTTATACCAAAGAAATTTCCTTTTGGTATGTTTCCATACCCCCTAGGTTTTCAGTCTTTTAGACCTTGTTATAGGTACCCATCTTTTCTATTTATTTTTATTAGTAAATCAGCGAGGCTATCTAAGCATTAGCATTAGAATAATAAATTCCTGCAAAAAAAATTTCCTTCCCACCACACCTCCCTTTTCTTTCTCTTTACTAAACCAATATCGTTCCCCAGTTTTCTCGTATTCTCTTTTTTCTAACTGATAACCATCAGTTTATTGTTGCCTTTATTGGGTGTTCTCTTTTAAGGGAAGAGAGAAATGAGACTTCGGAGTTATTAAGATATCGTATAAAGAGAGAGGTAAAAGAAACAGTTTTATGATATAACCCACTGGGAGAAAATAGTGAAAGAAACAATTTTCTTCACTATCTTTTTATTTCCAGGATCAGATGTTGCTAGAGGTTAGGTCCTCTCATTTATTTTCTCTTTCCACTGTGATTATCCATCGATTTGGTGTTTTTAGCGATTTCTTTAGAAGATCTGTTGATGGCTATCAAGTTTGGAATTCTGGGGCATCTTTTCTTCTGTATTGTGATTTCTTTCTTTCTTTATTTTTTTTCCTATTCATTATATAAGCTTTTTTGGATTCATCAATGATATCTATGTCTATCTATCATGTCTAGAGTTTTCGTGTATTTTTTCTTTTATTTCTTTTAAATAGAGAACCTTGGTTTGCTTATTTTTCTTTAATTATTATTTTAATAAATTCCGCTTGCGATCATTTTCTACCTAGAACAACTTAAAGCTTTAGATGATCAAATCATAACAGTCCCCTTTTAATTCTCTGTCCTGACTCAGCTGCATATATATGTGTCATGTTATGCAGAACTTTTAGTATAAATTCCGTGTACAGATGATCAAGAGAACTTTATATCTCGGTAGAGACAATAGTTAACCAAGCCAACCTTTGTAATTCAGAGGTATTATGTAGTTCAGTGTGCTTCTGTATGAAAATCTGACATTAATCATTTATAATTGAATACGAGTGTTCTCCATCCTAGTTAACATGTTCCCATTCTGATATGACTTTCTTAAGTGCTGCTAGTTTGATATGCTTGAGTTGCAAATAATTTTATGCAATTGTCACTATCTATCTAGACAATAGTTATGCATTAAAATATATAGTTTTTCCTTCCTGAGAAGATAGCATATTTTCGAGTCATGAAGGTTAGCAAGAGGGAATTTAATATCTAACCCGAACTATTTTTGGTTTCTTTCAGGAAGTTTGTGCAACTGTTTAAGGCCAAAGGAGCACCTTTGAATCCATCTCTAAACCTTTTGAAGAAGATCTTCAGGTTTAGTGGGAGCACTTTGTCATGGATCAAGAAATATTATTGACCAATGTGATTCTCAATCCAGTTGAAACACCAAACTTGCCAAGCTCTCCAGTGTTTGCCACTGATGCTAATCCACCTTTCATAGATCTGTCTGATGAAGACTCTGCTGATTTGAGCATCTGGAGCTCAGGTGGACCAAGCTCCAGCCAGCATTCAATAGATCAAGTTGCTCATGGTGGGCCCAAGATGGAGCATAGCTGGGCCCCTTCTTTGACAATTAATGGGATACAGGGATCAAGGACAGAGGAAAGGCCATTGGAATTTACCAATGTGCTTCCCATGGAAAATGTGAATTTAAATCTAAACAACGATCCAGTGGATGATGGTCACTCGTTCTCACAAAATCCTGGTTTCCTTCAAAACTCAGACCACAATTTGGTTCATGGAATTGGTCAATTTTCAGCTCCTTCTAGTGCTGGCTCATCTGGTTCTCTTCATGTTATCTCATCAGGTAGTTCTTCAAATCCCTCGGGAAGTGGAAATTCATTAGATTGTCGGCGTTTGTCCTGCAAGAGGAAAAGCATTGAACAGTGTTCTTCAAGTGGAAGCCCGAGTTGCCTTTACCAAGGGGAGAGTAGTTTGATGCGTCCTTCTTTTCATCAGAGTGCTAATACTACTTTAAGTATAAATCCACCTGGAGAGCAGCTGAACTCAAGAAGTGGTAATACTACTTTAGGAAACACAGAAGGCTCACAGAGAAATTGTCGGATCAGGATCAACCCCCCACAAACTGTTGTTTCCCCTCATAGCCAGTGGAACCCAGGAAATAATCTTATGACCTCTGATCTTTTTTCTACTCGTCAAGTATCCAATCAGTTTATTCCATCACATCAAGCAGTTGACAGAGTAACTTCTTTGCAACTTCCTTCCTTAGTCCCGAACATGCACCCTTTCCCTGTAAACATAGCTTCTAGTTCAAGAACAGCCAGTTCTTCAAGATCTCTATCCATTGCGGGGCAAAGTTCTAGTGCATCCAGTTTACCGAGGAATAATATTGCCCCTGATATGAGGCACTTGATGCAACACTCGTCAAGTTTGAGTCTAGCTCCAACACCGCAAGCTAGAACGGGTCCACCGGTGGTTCAACCATCTGGGCCTACCTGGATTCCTCATCAAAATCCACCGACCCAATATCAACGGAGGTTGCCGGTGGTTGCTCGGCGGTCCTTGGTTCCTTCTGTGCCCTCTCGCTCAACTCAGGGCATCAATGCTCCCCCCCAATCTTCTTCTGCTCCTTTGAATAATTTTCAAGAGCTTAGAAACCAAAGTATTGCTGCTTTGCGACTTCAACAATCGTACTTAAGATCTGCAAATGGTGTTCTTGCTGATCTCTCAGCCGTCCGGTCTCTGGCGGCTACAAGGGATAGGAGCAGGGTTTTATCAGAGGTTCATATCATGCACTTTCAAACTTTTAACAGTCAGTGAATTTTTATACTTGAATATATCACACTGCTTACTCGTATGAATCCTTTTGCTAATAATTCTGTGTCTTGGTACTATATATTCTCTTGACCATTGTTTTATATATCCCCTACATGGCCGATATATTGGCCGATGTGTTTTTTTAGATATATTCTCTTGACCATTGTTTTATATATCCCCTACATGGCCGATATATTGGCCGATGTGTTTTTTTAGGCTTCCTGCAAAGCGATATGGTTTCAATATCCTTTATCGCTTTTGGCAATTTATGGGTGATATATGTGTTTTTCCGATATATCAAGTGACATTTCAGCCTTAGAAAATCAGCCAAAATATCGCAATATCAAATTGGACATTTATTTGTTTTAAAGGATTGATCCGGATTTATGGTCTAATCGAAGTCTGAATCCAAACAAATTATCTAAGTTACCGGAAACAAGAGTTAGGACTCATTTGAGACCAAATTCTTGTGCAAAAGTTTTCAAAAACACCACCTTTCTCAACTGCTCCATTCTTTGGTCCAACAAAATGTGGATATAAATGCCCGCCAATATCCGCCATCGGATATGGAATTTTTGCATTTGGCATGTCCCCAACACCGAACATTTTTGGTATGTCCCCGACATCGGACATTTACAACACTGCTCTTGACAAATATGTACACACACATGACACTCCAATATTTGTTAAATATCTTCACACGCACAGATGGCACTCCGATATTTGTTGAAGATCTCTACGTACACATATGACACTCAGATATTTGTTAAATATCTCCAATATCCGTGAATATCCGCCATCAGATATAGAATTTTTCTCTCCGGCATGTCCCCAACATCGGACATTTAGAACACTGCTCTTGACAAATATGTACTTTTTCCCATTTGTTATATATTCTCTTGACAAATACATACCTACATTCTTCCCTGAATAGTGTTCATGTCACTATATAACATGGGGATGAATTTATAAAGCATGTTAAGTCCATCCATATGCTCTTTCTTCTTTTATATCATCAAAATCTTGTGCGCTTTACAAAATCAGGGTTGTCCGTTCTTTGTTGATCATTGGAGGAAGAGCTTAAAAATCATTTTTAGTTTCAGTTCCTTTTACTGCTTATGTGCATTTTCAAATTTCTGTCTTAAACGATTGTATCAACCTTATTGTTCTCTTATTTGACCTTATTGTTCACATATTTCCCATTTCTGTCTGTAGCAGATTCGGAATGCACTTGCAAGGAGGGGGGAACATATGCAACTCGAGGTCAGCTTTCCGTCTAGTTCTTATGTTTTACTACTATATCGATGTCCTGAACTATTTGCAAGTGTAGGAAAATTTACCCATTCTCTTGTTATGAACAATCAATTGTCTTTCCTGGAGTCCTTTTGTTCATCCTTAATTAAATTCAAGAACCTTTTGTTATAGAGAATCACTTCACTTGCTTGCATCTCATGAAGGAATGTTTCAGCAACATTTTCCTAGTCGGAGTGACATTTTGTCATTCCTGAAAATGTTCTGGTAATGGCCGGAGATAATGTGAAGGAGAAATATCTGGGCTTTAATTTTCCATTTTATTTCTAATACTGGACTTCATGTTGAAATGATAATGATGCTGGCATCACGTTAAATGCTGGAGAGAATGAGGAGAGAATGAGGAGAGAAAGACTTTGCATTCTTCTGGAATTTAGGTACAGTTTAGGCCTGCATAAAGCATAAATGTCACATTAGCATTAAACCATGCATCTTAAGATGGATGGCATTCATTTTTACCAAACCAATTAAGCAATATAACTTGTACTGTGATTTTGTTGTACGGCTGTTGCTGTCTTCGGTTCAGTTACCTTTTCAAGAAAATTTTCCTTCACAATCCTTGTTATTTTCTTTGTCTGTGCACTTTCTCTCGTTAAAGCTTTCCTTTCCATGTCCTTCCTAGTTTTTTTTTCCGGGTCTTTTGTTCTTTTTAATTCCTTAATGAAGGACACACATGTTTGGTTTCTTGTTTTGTACCATAATCATGTCAAGAGTCATCGTTACCAGTAAAGTATTAGTTACATTAGAGTTGCTTCATTTCGGGATTTTATGTGGATATTATAACAGGGAGTGCAGGGCGTGCTGTTGTTTGACCCGTCTGTACTTTATGGAGGGGCTGCCGAGTTGCATGATAGGCACAGAGATATGAGACTTGATGTCGATAACATGTCTTATGAGGTAATCAAAATTGAAGTTTATGTTGATAGATCAGAAGTATCTTTTAATTGTGAAGATAATTTTTAAACATTGAGCTTAATTTTTTTGCAGGAGTTACTTGCACTAACAGAGAGGATAGGAAACGTTAGCACTGGGCTCAGTGAAGAAACAATTTTGAAGCACTTGAAGCAGTGGAAATATATATCCCTTACGGAGGAAATACCCAGTGAAGTGGAGCCATGTTGTATTTGTCAGGTATGAGGCAATTCAATCTCTTGAAGTTGGCTTTGAAAACTGTTTTATATAAGTTTGGTATTTAGTAACAGGTATCCAATGTCCATACGATTGAGTTCTGCAATTTCCCTAAGTTCAGCTGTATTGGAAAAATTGCAATAGATCCCTCCAAGTTTTTAAAAGTGACGCTTGACCCTCCTCATTTTCAGTTCCTAGTCAAATGATTATCATCTTTTGGATCTAATAATTAATTTTCACTATGATAACTATATGCATCTTTGTATGATACTAGAGATAATTGTGACATCCTATGACCGACGTTTTTAATCGAAATTAATTTCATGTAAAGTTGAAATGAAGGGTTCAATTTTTTGAAACCCAAAGGGGGTCTCTGTCATTATGTAAATGTTGGAGGATTCTATCCTATCTATATTTATTGAGTCCATTCCTGGTTTAACCATGGGTTGAAAATAGAAGAGAAATACAGAAAAAGTCAACTTTTTCTCTGAGACGGGAGAGATAATAGACAGGGCCTCCATTTACTTTTTTTTAGGAGGTTCTGCTTTATTAGACCCCCAAATCTTTCTTAATTCTATATAGTCCCTCTAAACTTCTCATTTCTAAATTAGACCACCAAATTTTCCATATCCGCTTGAAACGGGGTCCTATGTAAATCAACTTAACAGGTTTAGGGGTCTTATTTAAAACAACTTAATAGATTTGGGGCATTAGAGCAACTTAATGGATTTGGGGGTCTCATTTAGAAATACGGTCTAACATAGAACTAACAAATATTTAGGGGTCTGGTATGAAAATGCCCTTTTCTTTATTTTTTTGTTATCTTTTTAGTACATTCAAGTTTCTGTAGATGGTGCCTTCTTATGTTTATTCTGCTTATGGATATGCATTTTCTACTTATTGGAGTCAACAAATTCTAGTAAATATAGATTTTATTTATTTCCATCTGGTAGGCTCATAACAAGGATCTCTCTCTCTCTTTTAACTTGCAGGAAGAATATGTGGAAGAGGACAATGTTGGAAGACTGGACTGTGGGCATGATTTCCACACTGCTTGCATCAAACAATGGCTAACAATGAAGAACTTGTGTCCAATTTGCAAAACTACTGGCATGAACACATCAAAAGAAAGATAGATGAGAGGCACATTGCTCCCATCTAACCTCAGATTGAAAGAGAAATGGAAGGTTGAGGCATTAACGAGTGATGGCTTTCTTTGCCCCCCAATAGATTATAGAGAAGCCCATACTGGTTGGATAATACATTCTTGCTTTATTTTTATTTAATATTTGTTGTCCTTTTTTTTTACTTGTCATATGGTAATATTATTCATTTTATGGAAATTCTTTGGCTTTTTTGCATTTAATTTTTCCATTACATGGTCTGCCAAGCTTTTATTTGCGTTGCATCCTTCGATTGCGTGGTGTGTTCTCTCTCTTGCAAATGTTCTTGAAACTGAGGGGCTTTAGTTTATATGCACGCTTTGGTCAAAATTGTGTAGCTTCAAAATGCTGTTAGTGGATGGTATCACAATCTTTTTAGCTTCGTTGGCGATGGGAAGCTTCATTGAACTTATTCCTACGTTTTATGTTTTTCTTCATTTTGTTGGTGAACAGCTGTTGCAGGAAAATTATAATGTACGAAGCTGAAATGTACTCAGCAGCAGACTCGTGAATACTTTATGTCCAGTCTCTTTTTCACTGTACTATATATTTTTAGTCACTCGTTGGTCACTTTTTTTAGTATGAAAAGGACTGTATACGGCGAGCGTTTGCGAAAATTAAACATCACGTACTCTGTTAAAAGATATTGGATTATTTTTCTTCAATTTTCAACTTTTAAAAGAATTTTTGTGACAACAGTGGATTTGATGCCTCTTTCCGTGGTATTTTCCACTTTATTTTTCATTTCTAATTTGATTTCACTTTATTTTCCTAGATGAAATGCGTCGTTGAATCATTTCACAGGTGCATCAATGTTCAGCTTCGCAGTTTTCTTTCTTTCTTTTTGTTTTTGTTTTTGTTTTTTTAACCTTCTCTTTTTTTTGCTTTTTTTTTCTCTCGTTTTTTTAACCTTTTGTTGTTTTTGTGCTGAGCTATGGAGTAAATATAAGTATGTCAAGATTACTTGAAAATAATTTTTAAAAATTCTCGGAAATTATTTGAAATCTTGTTCTTAAATAGTTAAATGCAGTACATTAAATTAATAGATGCTGGTTTTCTTTCAGCACTCCGGTGGACCCCACGTCAATTCTTAACAGCAGGTACTTCTATCGTAGATGGAATAAATAATGTTCATTATCTTGGCTTGTCAAAGTTTGGCAGCAGCTCACGTACACTTATTTTATTCATCAACTTTGAACCAAACAACATCACAAACAGCCCCAAATATTCCCTACTCATATTTATTATCACCCCTTATTCCTTCAGCATAGTTTTGGGGGATAATCTTTATGCCTAAGCATTTTCAGAGGATATCCTCAGGATTTTGGCCAGGGAAGAGATGCATCAGATCACTGAGGTCCAAAAACTCCCCACACCCACACCGTGGGCTATATAACTCACTGGCCAATAATTAATCACAGTGCCTGCAGGATCTTCTTCCATTGATTCATCAGCTTCTTCAAGCTGCACAGGGTCAAAAATGTCATACACAATATTTCCGAAAAGGGTTAATTGTGTATAGACCCCCCTGACTACCCCCCAGTAGTGGATAGATCCTATGTAGTGTTAAGAAATTATTTGCTGTTTAGACTGTAATTAACACGAAATTAAGGTTTAAACGGTTAATAAAAAAAATCAGATATTAGCCGAATAAAATTACAACACGGAAATAAAATTAATTCAAAAGAAAATAAATAAAGTTTAGAAATTCGGCCTGATGATCGAAGCGTGCAAGCCACTGTCCCAAGAATCTAATTGCCCCCTCTCGTACAAAGCTACGCGGCAGTAGATCTCGGAGATACGACGACTCTCGGTCAGGCGACCTCCTTCTCGTCGGCACGAGCTTCAAGAAGGTTTTACGAACTCTTCGCGACTTTCAGGGAACTAGCAAAAGAATAACAGTAAAAGTTGCAATTCGAGAAGAGGAGAGAATGAAGAACTGTTGTGATTTTTCACTGTGTTTCAAACCATCGCAGCTATAGGTCATTTTATAGGTTGAAAACCGCCATTTAGATCCACAATTATCGCCCGTTTAGATCCACTAATCTCGCAGCTAAATATTTAACACGTTTTAATTGTTCCAATTTGTAAAAATAAAAATCTAAAATGTAGCAGGTTAAGGGTCCCTCAATCCGGGGCTGTATTCGTGTTCGCAGGTCGTGGGCGCGCGCCTCCCGACCCGAACCCAAAATGTAGTTTCATTGTTGCTAATAGGCCCCTGAAGAAAACAAAATTGTTTCTTGACAACTAGACCTCCTGAGGTTAAAAGAGTGATTTTTTTTCTCGCTTTGCGGGGTCTATTTGCAACGAGGTGATAGTATAAGTGGTAACTCCATTGTAATAGAACTATAAGGGGTCTACATGCAACCGGAAGATAGTACAGTGGGTCTACTAGCAACTAATCCTTTTGAAGATGATGGGGAAAAAAGGGAAAAAAAAAAGAGTTTTTGGTTTGTGATTTTGAATTAGATTATAGGGTGTTACCTCTGGAATCTCCTCTGCCAGTGATTGCTCCTTGCTATCTTCTTCTATTATGTTTATTTCCAAGATACGGTCTTCTTCAGTCTGCACAAGAGCATTAAAAATTCTTTATAAACGAATTGTTTTTTATTTCCATTGATAGACTATAAAATATATTGAAGCTCTGTCTATGAAAATGAAAGATAAGGTGCTTTAAAATATTTTTATTTCATGAGAAATAATCAAATTTTTTCTATTATAAATTTTTTTTTTGAATCAATGACAACAGAATTAATTTGATAAGAGGGGTAATTTTAAGGCAACATCGGAAACTTTCTTTATGTACGTTTCAAATTAATAGGATATGAGTAAGTAGCTTGAAAACTTGTTAAAACACACAAAAAAAATTTTGACTGATGGGACAAATAAGTTTTCTATATTTGTAATAGATAAGTTTGGAAAAATCAAGTAAACATGCTCAAAAGTACGGGGTACTAATTAAGTTCACATTTAAATCAAATAAAACATGAAAATGAGGGTAATAAAATACGAAGTACAGTTACTAGTAGAACACTAGAACTGGGAGTTGCAGTCAATTACCTCATTCTCCTCAGTGACAGTGGACATCCAATCTTCATCTCCCATTTCTATCTCCTCTATTTCAAGATCATTAAGATAGAAATAAATTTCGGCATTATCATTTCCATTAGTCATTTTTGGGCTTTTTGGAATATTTTGATTAGTGGTTTTAGCTAATACTATTTTCAAAGGCTAGATATTTGAAGAAAGAAGCATATATAGTGGTATTTATAGATTGCAAATGACTTTTGCATATCTGTACATTCATTTTTCCTTCGATAAATTGTTCCGAAAGTTTTTCGTAGCTTGCTTATTACGATACATGTTTACCTTTTTTAATTTATTCGAAATCTAACGCGACAAGATATTTAGCGCAAATTAAGAGGATGAATCTAAGACTCACTGAATCAAAAATTTGACGAAAATTGCGCAAATTTCAGTTGCTCTGAGAATAAAATGAACAAGTTCATGTGACAAATGAAAACATACCGTTTTGTGATAGGATCATTAGCAATGTACATTCATTCAACCAAAATAAATTCCCAGACATTGCTTTATACTTCCCAAGAGAATTTGTGGTTTTTTTTGATAAATAATTCATATTTGTTGATTTTGTTTTGCGTTCACATGATTCTGTGCATCCATCATTATAAGAATTTACGTTGATTACACGTATGGACATTCTACTATAACTTTTCTTGTTAAATGAAAAGTTGGTTTTTTGTAAGAGTTTTTTTTAAAACCAAAAACACATGCTTAGATAAAACATGTCAATGTTCTTTCCACTTCAAAAACTCTTAGAATTATTACAACATTGGCTATATATAATGCACTTGGGCTAAAGTCTAAGCTCATGGAAGAATAAGCTTTTGTTTAAATGGCAAAGATTCTGATAAAGAGATTGCATTTACATTTAAGGCAAAATGTTGCACGTAAAAAGAAATAAAAAATGCAAATGGACATCCCTTAAAAAAAAGGTAAATGGACATCCTCTAATCTTGTTCTAAAACTTCTACGCATAAGAGACATTCAAAGGGCTCGTTTAGTGTAGTTAATTATCCATTAAATACGTTATTTCCAACAACTACTTTTAAGTAAGGGAAAAATGCTTCCAGCCCCCAAAACCCAAGAAAACGTGCTTTCCCCCAAGACTTTGTCAACGAGTGTTTTGCCCCCAAAAATAAAGATTTTGTTCTCTGAGCCCCCAAAACACACAACCCAAAAGATTAAAATATGTGAAGACCATAATATCCTTCTCTCTCTCTCTCTCTCTTTATCATGATGTACTGAGATGATAGTTGAAATGATTGATGATGATTATTTTTTTATTTTTATTTTTTATTATTTTCGTTATTGATGAGGGAAACTAATTGTTTGTATTGGGAGATTGTTAAAGTTACGGGTTAATTGTTAAGGTTACGAGTTAATTGTTAAAGTTACGGATCAATTGTTAAGGTTATGGATCCCTTCTCTCTATATATATATATCATGATGTTAATGTGATGATGTTGAAATGATTGAAAGAGATTGTTATTTTATTATTTTCGTTGTTGATGAGGAAACTAACTTTTTTTTGTATTTGGAAATTGTTAAGGTTACGGGTTTAATTGTTAAGGTTACGAGTTGATTGTGAAGGTTACATGTTTAATTGTTAAGGTTACAGATTTAATTGTTAAGGTTACGGGTCGGTTGTTAAGGTTACGAGTTTAATTGTTAAGATTACGGGTTTAATTGTTAAGATTACGGGTTTAATTATTAAGGTTACATGTTTAATTGTTAGTGTTACGAGTTTGTTGTTAAGGTTACAGGTCGGTTGTTAAGGTTACGGGTCGGTTGTTAAGGTTACAAGTTTAATTGTTAAGGTTAGAGGTTTAATTGTTAATGTTATGAGTTTAATTGTTAAGGTTACGAGTCGATTGTTAAGGTTACGGGTTGATTGTGAAGGTTACGTGTTTAATTGTTAAGGTTACGGGTTTAATTGTTAAGGTTATGGGGTTGTTGTTAAGGTTACGGGTCGGTTGTGAAGGTTACACGTCGGGATATATATGTATATATATTTTGAGTGAAATGAATATTTTGGGTTACTTGGCCTAGTGGTAAAGTTTGGGAGTTTGAACAAGAGGTTGGGGGTTCAAACCCCCACAACCACAATATTTTTAGAATAGTCGTTGTTAAGAATTGTGAATGTTACGGGTTGGTTGTTAATGTTATGGGTTTGTTGTTAAGGATATGCGTTGGTTGTGAATGTTACGCTTTGGTTGTGAAGTTAACTTACACAACAAACTCGTAACACTAACAATTAAACCCATAACCTTAACAATTAAACTCGTAACCTTAACAATTAAACCCGTAACCTTAATAACCGACCTGTAACCTTAACAATTATAAACCCGCAACCTTCACAACCAACCCGTAACCTTAACAATTAAACCCGTAACTTTAACAATCTCTCAATACAAATAAAAACAATTAGTTTCCTCATCAACAACGAAAATAAAAAAACAAAAATAATAAAATAACAATTCCCTTCAATCATTTCAACATCATCACAGTAACATTATGATAAAGAGAGAGAGAGGTGGTCCATAACCTTAACAATTGACCCGTAACCTTAACAATTAACTCGTAACCTTAACAATTAACCCATAACTTTAACAATCTCCCAATACAAACAATTAGTTTCCCTCATCAACAACAAAAATAATAAAAAACAAAAATAATAAAATAACCCCCATCAATCATTTCAATTATCATCTCAGTGCATCATGATAAAAATAGAGAGAGAAGGGTATTATGGTCTTCACATATTTTAATCTCTAGGGTTTTGTGTTTTGGGGGCTCAGAGAATAAAATCTTTATTTTTAGGGGCAAAGCACCCGTTGACAAAGTCTTGGGAGGGGGAGGGGGAGGGGGGAAGCACGTTTTCTTGGGTTTTGGGGGCTTGAAGCAATTTTCCCTTTAAGTAAACTAAATTAACTGTAAAAAGCTTTTTAGATGTTTCCCCCCTACATATTTAATAGTTCCATATTAGTCTTAGAAATATTGGAAACTGCTCAAAAGTCCCTTGAATCCTATGTGGTCTTGCAAATTGACACCTCAAAATTTTGAAATTGCTAATATAGTCTTGCAAATTGATCCCTCAAATCTCTAATAATTTGATATTAGTCTCTCAAGTCTTGGAAATTGATCATAAGTCCCTCGAATCCTATATGGGCTTGCAAAGTGACCCCTCAATGACCAAAGCTCACCCAGCTTTTGTTCCCCCAATACCCATGGGCTCACGAAAGCATAAGTCGAGGAGCGTTTTGGTCACTGAAAGACCAATTTGCATGACCCCATAAGAATTGACGGACTTGTGAGCAGTTTCAAAATTTTGAGGCACTACTACAGAATTATTGAAGATGTGAGGGACTGATATCTAAAGGAACCCAACTTTTAAACATTGCTGTTGAATATAGGTTTTTTTTTCGACTTTAGTTCCTTAGATCTTCTATATTTTGGATTAGTCCCTCAAATTATGAAAATTTCTATTATGTCTCTCAATTCATAAGGTATTCCGACTAAGTCCCCAACATCATGGAAATTGTTATTACATCCTTCAATTCTTAAGTTATTTTGAAATTGGTTTCTCGAATCAAGAGTAAAAGTATCAATATGAGACAAATTAGTCCCTTTAATCATCTCAACTTCCATTAGGTCCCAAGATTCTCAAAATTTGCTTCAAACTAACCCCTCGAATTGCTAATTATATTGTTGATTTGAGAGACTAATATCGAAATAGCTTAATATTTGGAGGACCTAGTAGAAATGTTTATGAATTGAGGGACTAATTCAAAATATCTAAAGAACTGGGTGACCTTGCAATTTCAATGATTGAGGAAGCAAATTCAAAATGTGAAAGACGTAAGGGACTAATTAAAAAAAAGGGAAAAATGTGTCCAGGCCCCAAAAACATAAACTTCATGTGCTGCAGCCCCTTCTAGTTTCCCCCATGTGGTTCAGCCCCTTGAAGTGTGACGTTTTGTGCTGCAGCCACTTTTTAACAATTATTACATGCCAATTAAGCTAAAATCCCCAAAATAACCTTACCCCCTCTCCTCAATCCTTCAAACCCAGTTCTCTCTCTCTCTCTCTCTCTCTCTCTCTCTCTCTCTCTCTCCCTCTCTCTCCTCTCTCTCTCTTTAAAAACAAGGGTTTTATCAAGCTCGTCGCTCTGGCCCTCGCCCTCCTCACCGTCGCCACCTCCGCCCAGGCTCCCAAGCCTCCCCCGAGTTCGCCGCCGCCTCCCCTTATGCATATTTATATATTCGATTGTAAAGAAAAGTAAGTTCGGTCTTTGATATCAGTTCCTTCTTGAGTTAAAAATGAACAAAAGTGCATACATGTCTATCTGTCTATAAACTTCAGTCCGTATCCTCAAATTTTTCTGGATAGTGCAATGCTACCCTTATGCATATTTATATATTAAATGAAGGGACACTGAATATCCATGTACCAGTTCACATCTCTAGCAGGATCCTGAGATACTTTGTATGGAGGTAATAAGGGAAAACCTAATACGTGCTTAATTACATAATCTATAAAACCAGAACCTACCATTTTACAAATAAAGGAAAATCAAGGGATGTAAACAGTACCAAACCACATCCACGAATTAGATAGATATGATCTAATAATGAACAAATTGGGTTAGTATTTTGAATATGCAGTAAGAAAAATTAGGAAGCAATACCACATAAGTTTGAGCAAAAACCTCCAACAACGTGGAAGTAACCCTCTCAACATTCTAAAGCATACTGCTGCAATTGTACAACACAAAAAGAGAAATAAAAATCTTTTTATTGTGAAATAAAAAGGCGCAGACTAATATATTAAGGATAAAGTAAACAAACATGTTTTCGACTATGCTCAGTATTGGGTGAAAAGAGAACGTTGTATATGTGTTAGATAAATTACCATCAATTATTTCCCCACAAAACCCCAGATCAATTATTTTTTTCTGTAAAAATCCAAATTAGTGCGTGTTAGTTCTAATCTGCACAGTGTTAGTTCCAATCTGCACAGTGTTAGTTCTATTCTGTATCGTGTTAGTTCTAATCTGCACAGTGTTAGTTCTATTCTGTAGAGTGTTCGTTCTAATCTGTACAGTGTTAGTTCTATTCTGTAGCGTGTTAGTTCTAATCTGCACAGTATTAGTTCTATTCTGTAGCGTGATAGTTCTAATCTGCACAGTGTTAGTTCTATATATATATATACACACACATATATATACATATACACACACACACACACACACACACACACACACATATATATATATATATATGAGAATAGTAGTCAGCCAAAATGTTGCCAAGGAGCAAAATGCTGCATGATTTACGATACGTTCCCATTTTCAAAATAGAAAACTGTAACCACGTAGTCAATTTTAAATCACTAAAACTTGTATGCAAACGAACTACATGTCTATAGTAATCCAGAAGTCCAGCTCGAGAGCTTAAACAAGCAGAGGAACACATTAAGAAACTGATACTGTTATTGTCAACCAATGACGAAACAGCCAGAATGCTCTATTTCAATCTAATGACAGGGTGTAAATTTCTGCAAAGAATATGAGCATGCTCATTTGTTGAATCATAAACCAATACCAGAAACTAGACAGAGTCATAAGTTGCATCTAGTTCCAAGTTAAAGTACAAGAATATGCTATTCTGTCTATAATGTTAGTTCTGTTCTGTCTACAGTTATATTCTGTCTACAATGTTAGTTCTATTCTGTCTATAATGTTAGTTCTATTCTGTCTACAGTTCTATTCTATCTACAATATTAGTTCTATTCTGTCTACAATGTTAGTTCTATTCTGTCTACAGTGTTAGTTCTAATCTGCACAATGTTAGTTCTATTCTGTCTACAATGTTAGTTCTATTCTGTCTACAGTTCTATTCTGTCTATAATGTTAGTTCTATTCTATCTATAATGTTAGTTCTATTCTGTCTACAGTGTTAGTTCTAATCTGCACAATGTTAGTTCTATTCTGTCCCCTTCATTTTTACTTTTCTTGAGCATCATGCACTCTTTTCTCTTGGTCATCCTCCTCCGGCCTACCATACTATGGGTTCAAAAGTGACAGGCACAGCGACGAACTCCGGCGTAGTCGAGGACGAGATGGGGAGCGACGGCGAGCTATCGCGACGAGGTCGGGCGGAGGAGAGGAGGGGAGGCGGCGACAAACTCGGGGGAGGATTGGGAGCCTGGGCGGAGGTGGCGACGGCGAGGAGGGCGAGGGCCAGAGCGACGAGCTTGATAAAACCCTTGTTTTTAAAGAGAGAGAGAGAGAGAGAGAGAGAGAGAGAGAGATTATTTTGGGGATTTTAGCTTAGTTGGCATGTAATAATTGTTAAAAAGGGGCTGCAACACAAAACGTCAAACTTCAAGGGGCTGAACCACATGGGGGAAACTAGAAGGGGCTGCAGCACATGAAGTTTATGTTTTTGGGGCCTGGACACATTTTTCCCTAAAAAAAAACCTAGAATGTAATTATCGGGTACACCCTAATCAGACCCTAACCAAATTACGATCCCAAGTTCCAAATGGATGAATTAAACTCACATTTAGGCCAGAAATCGAGACGCCAACCGCCAGATCACCGGCAGATTTTGGTTTCCT